CTACTCTCGTCTGTGCTCACTTAACTGCAACCATTCAGGCATTCTTGCCATTCCTGGAACCCAGAGGACATACTCCTGCCCGCTGGCTTTGCATATGCCATCTTATTTGCCTGAAACAGCTCATTCTCAGACAACAAATGTTCCCCTCCTTCACTTCTCTCAGGTAGCCGCTGAAAGGTAACCTATCTGAAATGCCTTTCCTGATCATCTGTCCTCCCAGCACATTATATATTTATTTGTTTATTGTCTCTATCACCATTGTATGTATCGTTTTCAGCATTCTCAGTCCTAATGGAATGCCTGGTTTATAGGAGGCAATCAAAATGTATTTGTTAAATACTGAAGAGAGGAATAAAAGGGATCTGTCCAAAACTTTGTGTGCCTGTGGACAAGGAAATAGAGTTGACGTCATGTTTGTTCTTAGGTCACCTAAGTCTAAAGTTCAAGGAGCGATATCAGCCGTAGGAAGAAGCTGAAAGATTATTTTCATCATAGGTTTTATGTGACATAAAATACTAGTAATGCTGCCTAAATCTCCAAAGTGCTGGGATTACAGTCGTGAGCAACTGTGTCTGGCCGTGGAATATGAGTATTTCTATATAATTCTGCAAGAAATAAAGCACCATCAAAGCTCAAAGGCAATGACAGTGGTTCCAGAGGAGCAGAAAAACATGATGTTCAGAAAGTGTTGAAATGACTTTCCTATGTAGTGATACAAGAGGATGCTATTGGAGTAGTAGCAGGGGCAGAAGAAGGGAGCTCATTTATGAAAATTAGACAGCTAATAACTCCCAGAAATACTTAGGGGAGATATTTTGCAGATAGACCTTTGTCACCAAGAAGGGGCCAATAATCCAGCAAAATTTAGGTACCAATGTTATTGTAACCTAATTTGTGCCAACAGACTGATGAGAACTGAGGCAAATGATAGTTATAGGAGTTGTTTATAGGTTAATTTCAGGATAACTTTATACTTCTTTCTTACTATTAGAACTGTTTCTAATTAGTAATGTTTCTTTGAATTAAAATCTTCTCTATGTGCCTCCATATTTTAGTGGAATAAATTTTGAAGTGAGTCTCAACGTTAAAACCTTAAATTTAGAGAGCATTCTTTTTTGTTACCCAAAATTGGCTCACAGAAGTAAGAAAAAGTTAGGCATAAAATTAATAACAGTTGATTTGCACTAGTGTGCAGTCATTAGAGGTATACTAGTTTCTGGTTAAAAGAGTAGGAACTTTGAAATCAAACAGACTTGAATTCGAATCATCTCCATCTCTTACTGGAGGAGAAAAATACCTCGTTTTGAGATGTGAATATATTCACGATCTACTCTTTTAGACAATTTTAAGTACAAAATACATTATTACTAACATAGTCACCATGCTGTACTTAAGGTCTCTAGAACCTAGTCATCTTATAACTGCAAGTTTATACCCTTTGACCAACTTTATGTATCTTTTTAAAGTTATGGATATAGACACTTGGCTGATATAAAAAATGTTAGTATTATATCACATCAAAGCAGCTGAACTCTAGAGGACTGTGTTGTGGTCCCAAAGGGCTGATGCATAAAAGTCAGAAGGCCTGGAGGGAGAAATGCCAGTGACTCAACCCACGTTGCCCATGCTTTGACTTTTCCAACAGGAATGTGGATACAGGGTGTCTTAGTCTATTTTCTGCTGCTATAACACCATACTGCAGACTGAGTAATTTACAAGGAAAAGAAGTTTATTTGGCTCACAGCTGTGGAGGCTGGGAAGTCCAAGATCAAGGTGCTGCATATTGTGAGGACCTTCTTGCTGTGTCATCCCATGGTGGAAGGCAGAGGATAAACAAGCACACAAGAGAGAGAGAAAATGGGGACCAAGCTCATCCTTTTATCAGGAGCCCACTCTCATGATAATCAACTCAATCCTGTGATAAATAACTCACTCCAGGATAAGGGCATTAACCCATTCAGAAAGGCAGAGTCCTCACAGCCTAATTATTTATTAAAAGTCCCACTTTTCAATACTGTCACAATGGTGATTAACTTTCAGCATGGGTTTTGGAGAAGACATTAAGCCATAGCACAGGCCTTTCTTCCCAGGGGTTTCCATGCATAACGTGTATGTTTTATTAGCCTTCTAGAGGGGGAGCATGGCTATACAGACAAACAGATCGAAGCTCAAATCTCAACTCCCATACCTACTAACTAGGTGGCTTTTAGCAAGTTACTTTACTTTTCTAAGCCTCATTTTCCTCCATGTAACATTCACCTCAAAGGTGGTTTGATAAGCAAGATAATATATATATATAGCATCTAGCATGTGCACCCTCAGTATACATTAATTTCCTTTCCTTCCCAGGTCTTCCGATGAAGAGGCTGAAGTGCCAAGGGCTTTACCTGGCATAATGGTGGTAAACAAGGTACAAAATGGGCCAACCAGATTCCAGCTTAAAAAAAATGAGTTTTGAGATTTTAGGTAGCTGCAGTTAAGCATGACAGCCAGAGAGTCACCATAAAAAGCCAAGCATCACCTTGGCCATAATAGAACTCAGCAGGGAATCAGGAACAGGACTATTGAAGCCTTATCCAACCTATCTATGTTCTTTGGATCCAGTCCAAGGCCTGAAGGCTCACTAGAATGTTTTCTGTGGGAGGCACTCGGTCACCTGTAAGATGAAGACACTTAGATCTTGCTGCTACTTTAGTGTGCAAAGCCTCAGAAGTGATTAATAAGGAAACCAGCCTTAGAATGAATTCTAGTTAGTTGACTAGAGTCCCTTGGAATTTCATGTCCACCTGGAACCTCAAAATTTGCCATTCTTTGTAAATAGGGTCTTTGTGGATTAGTTAAGATGCAATCACACTGGAATACATTGGATCTTTAATCCAATGACTGGTGTTCTTAGAAGAAGAGGAGAAGAAACACAAAGAGAAGAGGCCATGTAGAGATGAAGTCATAGAAAGGAGTCATGTAGCTGCAAACCAATGAACACTAAGAATTTCCAGAGGCCACCAGAAACTAGAAAGAAAACAGGAGAGATTCTTCCCCAGAACCTTCAGAGGGAGATCAGTCTTGCTTAAACCTTGATTTGGGGTTCCAGACTCCATAACTGTGAGAGAATAAATTTCTGTTGTTTTAAGCACCAAGTTTGTAATAATTTGTACTGCTGCCCTAGGAAATTAATGCAATCACTCTATATCTTTTCAGTATTTTATGAGTTTTGACAGGATTTTCCCTCCAACAGTAACTTCTTTTCTTCCTTCTCTCTGAGTCTTTTTCATATCCACAGTTGTACTCCCTGCCACCCTTTCCATGACCTTCAGGTTTCCAGTTTCTGGTACTATTCTAGAGTCCACCCTTCCCAGTGTGTCTCTCAGTTCCCCCAAGCTCAGTGTAGTTCTCTCACGATGGCTAAAGCCAGCACACAGCAGGAATGATAGTAATAGAAGGCCAGGCCTCCATTCTTCCACCTGCCTCTAACCAGCTGTAACCAACAATCACGGCACTCAACCACTCTGTGCTACAGATTCCTCATTTACAAAAAAACAAAGAGAGCCAACCATGCTACCACACAGGCCATGGAGTTTAAAATATGATTGATGAGAAAGGGCCTTGTACAAGCGAAGGCACAATTAAATGTGTAAGAAGCTATTCCATTATTATTAGTTTAAAAGCTTGCTGAAAATAAAGGACATGGCAAATTGAGACTGTGTGTTTCTGATCTCAGAGTCATGCCACTATCCCATTTTTCCTCCAGGTCTTTACCTTATGTCTGTGCCTTTGCAGTTCACTGACTTGGTTCGGAAGAGGAAGAGCTCTGATTTGTTTTTAATTTCTGGGAAGTGATGCTTTTAGTATACTTACTGATGACCCCAGAACCAGTGTCAAGCCTCTCACCACAACTAGAGCTAGAGAAAAGGTCAGAGGGATATGAAATGCTGGCTATATGTCTTAAGTTTTTGCTTTTCCTTGAGTCTGAACTATTATGAGCAGAAGTACTAACATTTGATTTATTGGCAAAAATCTTTATAGTATTTGGCATCATGGAACTTTTATATTAGAAAAAATAAAGAAGGTTGATGAAAAGGGAAATTTCAATGATACATATAGGTTTTCTTTTAAAAGTAGTAAAAAAATTCAAAATTTAAACTGATGTGTAGTCAATGGTCAATCTTAATTTAAGATGACAGTAGAGGAAGTAAAAAAATTAAAAACAGTAAAGTAAGTGACTATTAGTCTATTTTTTCACCTAACCATTAAATTCCTAATTTATGTCATTTTTTTACACAAATTCTTCATAATATTTCATTCATTTTGAAACATACTTTTTCACATTTTAACATCTACAAAATCAGGGTATGTCTTAGCATCAATATGGCCTTTTATTTGTAATTGCCAGGATTTCTTTTCTAAGTGATACTTATAATATGAATGCATTTAATAATTGAAGGGTCTTAGATTCTATAAAATATGGTATTGCATTTAATGAACGTGGAAACTCTGAGTCCTGTAATTAAATTTTTTCTTTTTATAATGCTTTTATCAAATCTCAGTGAAACAAGTGTGATACATTTTCTGCCTCAGAAATACTTGCATGGTATGCTTTAGAATTCAGACTTTTATTCTTGAGAACAAGTGCATCATTAGAAATATGGAATATAAGTGAAATTTTGAGACCAAAGAATAGGAAAAAAAACTAGATTCAGAAATAACAGTATAATACAATATGGGAAAAAATTAAACATTTTCATTATCCAGTGAGTTTATGCTATAGTCTGAGCTATTGATGATATGGCAAAGGCCTTGGTTTCAGCTCTTAACCTGCTGCTGGGGAAGGTCGTATCATTTTTGTCACAGTCGTATATCAAATGAAGGGATTGAATTGGATAGGTTTTGAGGGCTGTTCATTCCTAGAAACCTCTGATAATTCTCATAAGATTTATTTACATAGATATTTTAATATATCTCCTACTCAGCTTTGCAAAGCATAACTGCTTCTCTTGTCTTACCAGTGTGGTCAATGACTTGTGGAAAGTTTTCATCTGCAGAGACGCTATAAAGAAATAAAAGTATTGTGAGTCAAACAATGTGTGTAAATAAATTATATTAAATTACTTTATAATTAAACAGATGAGAGCATATACAGAGTTAGGTTTTAGTAAGAGAGAACTTTTAGAAACCAATGAACAGTCAGGGACTAAAGTAGTATTCCATTTTGTAGTTTTAAACTGATACATAGTTTTTAAATAACAGGATAATCCTTCAAGTACAATTAAAATGAAAATCCCTACACACACGCCCCTTGCCCAGGCAGGATTCCACACACTGTTTTCATGGATCTTTGCAGGAGAAATGTATAAAGCACACACACAGAAAAAACACTTACAAGAATCCAGAGTCCAGCCACTGCTGAATACTTTCTTGTTTGGAATCTGCTACAAATAAGAAAGAACAGATCAGTTAGTCAAAGCACAACCAGCTAAAAGTATGCTACCCTGTTTACTCAGCCACCACTCAGTCACTCTATTTCCCACATATTTAGTCACATGTTTCCTTCCATAAGCATATTCATTTCTTTTTCCTGAAGGCCAAACCTCCTGTTTTCCATGATCAGCCTTTCCTGGGAATGAATTATAAACTTGTCAAAAGATTAACTTCAAAAAAGAAAAAATGAAAGAAAATGTGAGAGAGAAGAAGAACTACTGAAGAGCAATAGATGTCAGAATAATTTTTAAATTACCTGGTGTGCATACAAAGGGTGAGAAAGCATAAGAGACTTTTGTCTTTCTCTAGTTGGATATAAATCACCACAGAGCCTCTCCTTATTGAATCACAACATTTACCTAAGGCAGCCAGCCAGTGATGGTTATTTGCAAGGAGTTCTCTGCCAGGTTAGAAACCATATTTGCATTCATTCCAGGGACAAATTGCACTAGAGTCCCTGGATTGCCAAAAGCATCCTGTGTTAAAAAGGCACCAGTCTTTTAAGGTGGATCTTTATCATTGACTCAACAGTCAACAGGCAAAAAGGAGAGGATGTAAAGCAGCATTTTCTGTTAAATATTTGTTTCCATTCTGCTTGGCTACTGTATACTCAAGGCTGATTTTGTTTGGCTTTATCCTACCAAATAGTGAGATACCTGAATTATCCCCCTTACATGATGTCAGGTGAACCATAAAAGCCAGGTGGACACAGGGGGTCCATATTGTTCTTCACTTTAGCTGCTGTGAAGAGTTTGAATGAATCGGGTGATGGGCAAAGAAGAAAGACCATTCAACAGTCACATAATGGAGACAGGAGGTTGCTGGAAGTATTTTCTTACTTATTACTCTTTAAATGATTAAAATTTTTGTCAATGCCTCCTGCAGAACCCAATAAATCAGTCTTTTAATAAAATGTTTGATGACCTGAAAGAAGCCTCATGCCTGGAGCCCACACAGCTTCAAAGTCCTGTGGACTTAGGATGAGGGATGTTGGAGTGGAAAGGAAGCAGAGTTCATTCATTAATTGGTCTACTTCTTTCAAGGAGGTCTGTGTTCTGAATATCTACAGCAGAAGTCAGAAGTGTCCATTTCATAAATGCTTCTGGCATCATGCCAGGATCACTGGTATATTCAAAGCCAAGCACTTTTGTTCCAAATTCACCTGCCCTTGGCCAAAAGCTCTGACATCTCTCACCACTCACAGAGGAATGTTTTCGAATAGCCCTGAGGGTCGTCCTCACCCAGCATGGGGATGGTGAGATTCTGGCTTTCCTCCTCGGGGTCAGGGGGCAGCCGCTCATCCAGAGGAGCCCACACACTCTTGGTGCACCTCAGGAGCTCCCTCTTGCTCTTTTCCTGGCCTCCGTGAATGTTGTCAGATCCTTGTGACTTCTCTGCCATCATAGGAGAGTAATTCTGCAAACTAACTTAAAACATAAACAAATCAGACACAATGAGTTCAGCTTCTGGGCTTGGCTCGGTGAAAGGGAGAAAGAAGGCCAGAATGCCTACAGTCAGATGAACGATCCAGCTTCACAGTCATACATGAACCTGGCTCATCCCCCTTAGCCAAGCTCCCTGTCTCAATTCGGTGAAATGCTTCCCTCTCTGTGGCAGGGCAGCTGGGACTCAAGTGGCCTAACCAGTCATCAGACCACATGTACCTTCTAGAGATTCGCTTTGGTGGTCTGGGATGTGGATGGAGAGCAAAGAAATTCAACCTGAGGACACACCCAGTAAATAGCCTTCAAATTTATCCAACAGTTATATCTATAAAATTATTTTTGAGATCCAAATATTGGAGAAAAATGAGGGCCTTGGCAACAGATTGGCTTGGCTGAGTCCCATTTCTGCAACTTGTTGTGTGGCCTTATGTAAACTATAGAACCTTTTTGCATTCCCTTATTTCTAAACTGGGGATACACTCTACTGAATTTTAATAACTGTTAACCTTAGTGGAATGCTTATTATGTGCTAGATTCTATGCTGAATTCTATAACATTCATTACTTAATTTAATTGTCAATGAAGGAGGCAATATAATTGTCACAATTTTATGGTAAATTGAAGAGCAGAGAGATTAAGTTGCATGTCCAAAGCCAAACAGGCAGCCAGGACTCAAAGCTAGGAACTGGACTCCAAGCATGTTCCTGTGACTATGCTATATATCCTATTGGATGGCTGATCTGTGTCCCTTTCATTAAAATATCCTATTTTAATGAATTTAATATATTCATTAATATTTTAATGAATATATTATGCACCTGGCACAAAAAGTATCAGCTGCCCCCATTATTTAACTTGACCCTTACGAACATTCTGTAAAACTGGCAGAATAAGAGCAGGATACAGCAGATTAGAGCAACAACATAAATTGTTCAGTCTCTGCAGACTATAAGCAGCATGAAAACAAGGGCCATTCTCTTACTCATTCATGTGTCTCTAGAATTTAAGTGAATTTTTGGCACATAGTTAGTGTTGAATCAACAAATATCAAACTGAAACAGCAAAGCAAGATTTCAAACCACACTTTTTGATGCAATTACCTCCATGACATATGCTTTACTTTGCATTCATTTATTCTTCAAGTTTAGAGAAATGGCCAAATAGCCAAACACTTCAGTAGCATTTCTAGGATAGCTAAACTTATGCATAATCACTGATTACATGACATGTAAATCATCATTTCTAATCTGTTTGCAGCAGGCAAACCACTCAGATTTATTACAAATATAAGCATTTTCTTTCAAGTATAGGTGAGTATTCCAAATGCAACTGGCAGCACAGTTTTCTTACATGTTTTATATATTCAAATCCTATCAGGTATAAGTATATATGTTTATTGTTGCAATTGTAAATTAATAATTATGAGGACTGTCAATTTTACTTTAAAAAAAAAGAAGACATTTCAATAAGTTAAAAATTAAGGGAAAAAATACATAGATATATTTATATTAGCAGTCAATATTTTAGCCAGTTAACTTTAGGAATATCTGCTGGTAACAAATTATAAAAATTTCAGTAATAACACAAGACAAAATAGTGCAGATTGGATTATATTCCTAACCTTTAGAGAATTGTTTGGTATACTAGAATTCATAACATTAAACAAAACAACCTTTAAAAATCTCACTGAAATTTTAGTTATTTAGCTTCACATAGGTTTTGGGTCTTTCGGGGAGACAAAAAAAATCTGTTTGGCAGTGCCTTGTGTCTTGTGAGCATGAATGACAATGGCAGCCCCAACACTGACAGTGCAAAATTTCACAAGGGCCAAAACTCCAAAATCATGCTCAGCAACATCCATGAAATGTCAGATTCAATAAAAGCTCAAATGGTTTGGAGAAAAGAACAATGTATTACAGAAAAATAAGATCCCCAAAATAATCTCACTCTTTCACCGACCTTGGCTGAAAGTGACTTTCATTTAGAATGGTAGTTTGCACCGTGGAGGGAACATGAAGTTATCAAGTAGCTGATAGTACTCAAATTGCTGCTTCTGTATCATAATGCCAAATTTTAAGTTAGCAACTGCTCTTTCAAATATAACACTGGAGAAGTTGTTAGATTTTTAAATAAAAGTGCTGCTTTAGTTCTTCATCCTCAAACTTCCTTCTTATAATGAATGGCATGCTTGACCTCAGCCTCCAGCCTTACACAACCAGTGAGGTTATTCTCTCTGCCAGCACCCCTGTACTTGGCCAAAGAGCAGGAAAAAGGCTTGCCAAAGAAAATGGGAACCTTTGCTAAAGGCTTGGGTCAGGGACTGGTTCATAAAGAAAACCTCTTTTGTTCCCTCTGTTTTAGTGGATGCCTTCCAGTTGGTAAACAAATCTGCTTCTGGAAATGGATTTTCTAAAGCTTGAATGGCCTTCCTTTGGCATTCACTCACTTGACCCCCAGAGTAGCCCTTCAGAAAGAGACACAGATCAGGTGGCATCCTGGAATTGTTCAGTGGACAGACAGGGCACAAGTTATGGCATGTGACTGCCTGCAGACTTCTCTCTTTACTCCGTCCATCCCAAGGACCTTTTGGAATTCAGTTCTTGCTATTTCTTTGACTTGGCCCCAGGAGGAATTCTCATTCTGGATCACGTCATTCTGTGCCTGGGAAATCCAGTACTTTCTCTCTTTTCAAATCCCTTCTACTCTGATTACTATGCCGTCATTAATTCTTATGTGTACAAGAAACTTCTATTCATGTGGGAAATTGCCTGTAGTATCACGTTTAACTAAAAAAAAAGAGGATGCAAAATTATATATGCACTAAGAACTCAATTTTGTAAAAACAAAACAAACAAATGCCTTGAAAAATAAAAAAAATACCAAAATCTTATCAAGGTTTAAAAATTTTTTAAATAATCCAAATGAGAAAAAAAGACTTTGTTACATTAATTCTACTTCACATTTTCTTAACTTGAGCAAATTACATGCCCTTTTTCACTGTGAACCTTTAGGGCCACAATGAAATCATAAAATTTGATGCTTTGACACTTAAAGCAATGACAATGATTACATTCTTGTCCTCTGAGGTTATTTCACTTTTTGTATCTTTATGCAAACGGGTTTTCTTGCCAAACCGGTTGTTCATACTGGGAGAACAGAGACTGTTCTCAGCACCTTTGACCCAAGTAACTTAATTGCTTGGTTACTTAGAAAAGGGGAATTCAGTTGGCTTTGTCAGCTTTCCTGGTTCTTATCTGGTTAAAAGAGCAAGTGCTTTCAGGTCAGATAACTCTGGATTTTAATCTCCGCCCTGGCTTTCTGACAACTTGGGGAAATTTTCAAACTTTTCTAATAATCTATTTTCTCATAGATAGTCTATAATGGGTATGAAATAAACACTTTATGGGGTTGTTGGCAAAATTTAATGAAAAATATATCCAAAACAATCACCACTCATATTGGTCAGTTTTCTTTCTTTTTCCTCCTCTTCTGTATGTTGCTTCTTATCCTGTCAGGAACTCTCAAGTAAGGAAGTATCACCAATCAATGCAATCATTTTTCTCATAGAAAATAAATTTGAGCCTGTTAGTTTGTGGGTAGCCTGTGTTGTCTTGAAATTACTTATTTTAAATGATTGAGAAGTAGATGTATTTGGGAGAGTGAGAATAGGGTATTTCTGTGACTATGAGAATGCGGATTTTCCTAAGATTAGTTAGAAGTGCTTATCAGAATCTTGAGATTCCTTCAATTGCAGACCAAATTTTAAGGTTATAATTATAGCCTGTAGCTCCACCCTTGGCCACCATTTCTGAATATACTCTGTGGTCAAGAAGAGAACTGCATAATGGGAGAACAGCCCAAGCCATTCTGCATCCAAATGGATCACTAATATCATCTCTACATCTCATCCAAGGATCCTCATTGTCACAGCCTCTGTTCAGGCCTTCCTAGTATCTCAAATAGTATCCAGGCTTGCTTTGTTCCCCTGCCTACTCCATATGACTTCCCCAAGAGCAGCACTGAAGAGAAGTCAACATAGATCCATGTGTTCCATTAAGACCTGCCCCTTTTCCAACCATGATGCCACTCATGGAATTTTATAAAGAAAGCCTCCAGAACCCCTTCTATTCTCAAAAAAGTGATTACCACAAACCTCAGTTCCACTCATATTACCTAGACAAACAAAGACCAGTCCTGGGAGGCCAGCACTCTCAGAGAACTAACTCATCCTTCCTCCCCTGGAAGATGACAGAAGTAATCACATCATGCTGTTGGGCGGTGCACTTATGAATGGCAGTGAACATCACTTCATCTGGCCCAATCTTCCACCCTTCCTGGAGACTCTCCCTATGCCTGTGCCCTCTGGAACTCATACCCTGTCACCTACCAATACCTCTGCATCCTAACCTCTTCACTGAATATCCTTTCATCTTCTTTCTCTAACTAAAGCCTGGATAGGGCTTCTCAAGCTATGGCCCTTTCATTTCTTCCTTAAAATATCTGTACTATAGTCTCCAAGATAGTGTAAATTTCTTCTATGACCTTCGTTGCTGCTTCCAGACCAGAATTTCATTCTCTTTCATTCCATTTACAGACTTGGCTTGGGGACCATTTTTGTCCTCCTTACTGGATCATACCCTTTAGTTTACAATATACTTTAATGTGACTTATCTGAAATTTATCCTCCATGTGACAACCTTGAATCTCTCTCCAACTCCTACCTTAGTTTTTTTATTAAACCAATGATCATTCCCAAATTCTTATTTTTAAATCTGGTCCAGCCTGTGAGTTTCCTTTATAACAAGGTATTCCCTCTTACTTCGCATTTCCTCTTGAATGTCTATACACATTTTGTGCCACACTGAATTCTTTATTCTTTCCTTGACTTCTTCTTGACCCTCCCATATCCCTGCCTTTATTCTGAAGTGCTTCATCTCAGTTAACAGAGCCTATTCAGGCAGTTGCTTATGCCAAGAACTTTT